GAATCAAATGTTCATAGATGTGTAGTTTTATTTCTGGGTCTTTGATTAAATTCCATGGATTATCTTGGATATTTCTGTTCCAATACCATGCATGGTATTTTTTTGTTTGTTTATTAGTTTTTTTTGTCACTATTGCTCTATAGTACAGCTTGATGTCAGGGATGGTGATTTCTCCAGACGTTGGTTTATTGTTCAGGATTGTTTGCTTTTGTTGATCTCTGTTTCTTTTTTTACTTCCGTATGAAGTTGAGAATTGCTCTACCAAGATCTGTAATATGCTGTGTTGGATTTTGCATAGGAATTGTATTGAACCTGCAGATTGATTTGTCTAAGATGGTCCTTTTCTTTATGTTAATCCTACCAATCCATAAGCATAGGAGACCTTCTTATCTTCTGATACGTTATTTAAATTCTTTCTTCAGGGGAATGAGTTTCTTGTATAATCCACTATATAATCAAAATGAAAAAAAAATACATGATCATCTCATTAGATACCAGAAAAGCCTTTGAGAAAATCCAACACCCCTTCATGTTAAAAGTTTTGGAGAGATCAGGGAGTCAAGGCACATACCTAAACGTAATAAACATAACACACACCAAATCAATAGCCAAAATAAATGGAAAGAAACTTGGAACAATCCCACTAAAATCAGGGACAAGGACAGGGGTGTCCATTCACTTCCTGTCTATTCAATATAGTATTTGAAATTTTATCTAGAGCAATAGGACAAGAAAAGTAGACTAGGTTCTACAAATTTAAAAGGAAGAAGTAAACATATCACTATTTGTGAATGATGTGATAGTATATATAAGTGACCTAAAAAATTTTACAAGAGAACTCCTACTGCTGATAAACAACTTCAGCAAATTGGCTGGATATAAAATTAACTCAAAGCCTTAAATAGCCCTTCTTTATACAAATGATAAAAGGGTTGAGAGAGAAATTAGTGGGGAACACTATGTCACAATATCCACAAATAACATAACATATCTCAGTTTAATTGTAACTAAGTAAGTGAAAGAATACAATTCTTTTGAACAAGCAAAGAACATTTTCTCTTTCTTTCCTTCTTTCTTTCTTTTTTTTGGAGGGGGTTCTTACATGTAAGGGATATCTAGGTTGTTTCTATATTGGGGCTATTATGAATAACGCAATGATACATATCAGTCTGTAGATGTCACTGTAGTATGGTGACTCTGATGTCTTTGGTGTATACCTGGATTTGTTATAACTGAATCCAAACGCAATTTTTGTTTGAGTTTTCAGGTTTTTCCCCTCCACCATCCTCACCAGCAGTTCTTGCCATTGGTTCTCATAATAGTGGTCATGGTGATTGCTGTGAGCTAGAATTTGAGCATCAGTTTCTTTTCCATGTTCCTGATGGCTAAAAACAGCAAACATTTTCCATATATTGCTGGATATTTTTCTTTTAAGTATTGGTTGTACATTTTCCCTTTTATTAGTTGCATGATTTCATGGTAATCTTTTACTTTTTTGAAGTCTTGGCACTAATTCTCCACCAAATGTATATTGATCCACAGTTTCCTTTTCTTTCATTAGCTGCCTCTTTCCTCTTTGGTACATTTGGCTTGAATGCACTTTTCAAGTTAGCTTTATTCTTAATCATTCCTTTTCCTGAGAATGGCATCATACCAAAACTTGTGGGACTCCATGAAGGCAGTGCTAAGAGGAAAACTCATAGCTCTAAGTGCCTACAAAAAGAAACTGGAAAGAGCACACACTAACAACTTGACTGAGCAACTAAAAGCTCTAGAACAAAAAGAAGCAAATACACCCAGGAGGAGTAGAAAGCAGGAAATAATCAAACTTAGGGCTGAAATCAACCAAATAGAAACAGAAAGAACAATACAAAATATCAATAAAACCAGGAGCTGGTTCTTTGAGAAAATCAACAAGATAGATAAACCCTGAGCCAGATTAACCAGAGGCCACAGAGACAGTATCCAAATTAATAAAATCAGAACTGAAAAAGGAGACATAACAACAGAAACTGAAGAAATTAAAAAAAATCATCAGATCCTACTACAAAGGCCTATACTCAACAAAACTGGAAAACCTGGATGAAATGGACAATTTCCTAGACAGATACCAGGTCCCAAAGTTAAACCAGGAGCAGATAAACCATCTAAATAGTCCCATAACCCCTCAGGAAATAGCAGCAGTCATTAAAAGTCTCCCCACTAAAAAAAGCCCAGGACCAGATGGTTTTAGTGCTGAATTTTATCAGACCTTCAAGGAATACCTAATACCAATTCTTTTCAAACTATTCCACAAAATAGAAACAGAAGGAACACTACCCAATTCGTTCTATGAAGCTACAGTTACACTCATACCCAAACCCCACAAAGACACGACAAAGAAAGAGAACTTCAGACCAATCTCCCTTATGAACATCGATGCAAAAATACTCAATAAAATTCTAGCAAACCGAATCCAAGACCACATCAAAACAATCATCCATCATGATCAAGTAGGTTTTATCCCAGGAATGCAGGGATGGTTCAATATTCGGAAATCCATCAATGTAATCCACTATATAAACAAACTTAAAGAAAAAAACCACATGATCATCTCACTAGATGCTGAGAAAGCATTTGACAAAATTCAACATCCCTTCATGATAAAAGTCTTGGAAAGATCAGGAATTCAAGGCCCCTACCTAAACATAGTAAAAGCAATTTACAGCAAACCAGTAGCCAACATCAAGCTAAATGGAGAGAAACTTGAAGCAATCCCACTAAGATCAGGGACTAGACAAGGTTGCCCACTCTCCCCCTACCTATTCAATATAGTACTGGAAGTCTTAGCCAGAGCAATTAGACAACAAAAAGAAGTCAAAGGGATACAAATAGGAAAGGAAGAAGTCAAAAT